ACACACACACACACGACGTGTTACTCTGCGCTGCGCAAAACTCCGCATTTGAACAGTCAATAGCAAATACTTAAACTAATAACAAAACATACTTACAGTCGCTGATTCAGAAGCGCCAGATTGTCATAGCAAAGTCGGAATTGACCCTTTTTGTTTTTTTTTTTAGACAAATAGCCTTTGCACAGCCAGCCTTGTACTCTTCTAGGTTCAAAAAACTGTCGTCCATAAAATGCGTTTCACAAATTCGAACATCTGGGTTGTGCTGTTCTGTTGTAAATAAATCTTAACCAATGATTCCTAACTGCATCTACTTCCGGAAGGCCAAATAAAGTGCTTTTGCTTTCGCACTGAAACACACAGCGTCTCCCTGACATGGCTGCATCAACACGACTGCTGTTCCTGAAACCACGCCTTCTTTCTTTGCGTGCACATTTGGGCGGCATTATGCTAATATTTCCACATAGTGAGGTAGATATGTGGGGGCGTGTTAGAACGAGCCGTTTTAGGTAGGCGTGGCAGAGTCTTAACTTTTATAAAGAATATCTCTTTGGATTTGAGACTTTAGTCTTTGCAACTTTACAGATCTTCTTTATGCACCAAGAGCTTGTAACACTCCAAAGAGAAAGGAAAACTTGAAATCGCATCATATGACCCCTTTAAACTGATGATCCTGCTCCTGATCCCCAATGAGCATCAATGAACGTTTACACCTTTTGTAATTATTGTGTACAGTCCCTATGTATTAAGTGTGAAAAGTTGGAAATCAACATCATATACACTACTGGTCAAAAGTTTGGGGTTGGTAAGATTTCTTAAATGTTTTAAAAATCTTCTGCTCACCAAGGCTGCATTTATTTGATCAAAGTAAAAAACAGTCATTTTGTGAAACATTATCACAATTTAAAATAACTGTTTTCCATATTAAAATATTTTAAAAAAGCAATTTATTCCTGTAATGTAAAACGGAATTTTTACCAGCCATTACTCCAGTCTTCAGTGACACGTCAAATGTTAAAAACAGTTTTTGCTGCTTATTTGTTTTTTTGTGGAAACAATGATACATTTTTACAGGATTCTTTAATGAATAGAACTTTTGAAAGAACAGCATTTATTTAAAATATATATTTTTACTTCACTGTCACTTTTGATCATGGATAAAAGTATTAATTCCTTTAAATAAAACAAAAAATCTTACTGAGCCCAACCTTTTGAACATATACGGAAAATAATTGTTTCTTTCAATGACTGCAAGTCTGATTTTTATTTTAGAACTACAAAGAAACTCGTAAACACGTGAACATCTTTTTTTGTTCTCATATATAGAATTGTTCTATTTCCCAATACAAAAGTCTTTGAAAATGATGTCTAAAATTTCCTCAGCACCAACTTTACCAGTGATCCTGCCCAGGCTGGTGAGGCCCAAACAAAGCCCTTCTGCCGCCAGCACCAGGTCCACATCCCTGTACTGATAGTACTGCTGCAAAGCCTCCACGCTCTTCTGCAGGTGAGTCCGGTGTCGGCTCTGTGTCAGACTCGGGCTGCTGATCAGTGGGTCACCACATCTGAACAGACAGGGATATAATACTTTATAAATTTTAGTGTCATAATTTGGTTTGCTCTAGAAATGCACCGAAATTTAGGTAACCGAAAATATTTGGCTGGTTTTGGAGGGACGGAATCATTGACCAAATAAGTGATGTTTAATTACTGTTTCTCTGATGACGTGTTTTGACTGTGTCAGTATTGTGCACACAACGTGGATAAACTACAACAGGTAAAGCTGTCAGCTGTGTGGACGCTAGTGCTGGATTAACAATATGGATTTCTCGTTTTTAATCAATATTGATATGGATTCGTAAATCTCAAGATCAATCTTTTAGTCTGTGATGTTTTCTGCTGATGTGTGAACTTCACTGAACATTATTTGTAGCATCTGCCAATGAGCTTTGTGTTTTGTTACTTTTAATATAAAATAATGTCTCAGCTTTCAAATTCTGTCAATTATTGGTCAATTATAATATCACGAACTACAAACAATAAATGGGGTTTTGACGCTCTTTAATGTGTCGTGATAGATCACTGTAGCCGTCTCATTTCAAGCGAGTCAAACCGATGATCCCTTCCACTTTACTACTAGTTATAGCAAGAAATAAATGTGAACATCAGAAGGTGTTGAAAGAAACAGACGAACTTACTGAAATGTATCGTGTCATGTAATCACTCAATCTGTGTTTCAACCGCAAAAAACATCAATAAAACAGCTTGTAAACAATGTCACGTAACGTCACATTTACCTCAGTAAAGACATTCAATATAGGCCATTTTAACTCGATAGTCAGCTAGAAAAAATAACTAAATATATTACATATTCATTATATTTTTACTTAACCTGTTGTCTTCATTATTAAATGTATGTTTGAATAAATCAGTTTTTATTCCAGTCACCGTTTAAGCGTTTATATTTCAACAACAAATTGAAGTAGAAACATAATTGTTATTTTTAAAAATGACATAAAAACTACATTATGTGCAATTTAAATGTTTGTACAAGTCCGTTTTGATTATCAAATACATTTGGTTATTAAATAAGATTTATTTCCATTTTCTGTCAAATGGATCCTGAATTTTCGGTTTTTATTTCGGCCCAGAATTTTCATTTTGGTGCATCACTTCTGTTTACAGCATCTAAATATCATATTTGAATAATTATAGAACTGCTTTCTGGGTTGATAATTTCCACTCTCAGAGTCTTTAGTCTGTTCTGTATTATAGACAGGAGATCCTCCAGGCCATCTCTGGTGTGGCATGACAAAAAGCAAGCAGGAGGAACATCACCAGCCTCCTCGAGGGCCGCCTGGATGCTGCGCTTGTGCTCGGCAGAGATGCGGTCACTTTTGTTGAGAATCAGGATGCACTCCCTCCTGTGAGATGAGTGCTCAAGGATACTCTTCAAGTGTCCACTGAGGAAGACAGGAACTAGCTGGGGCTCTGAAGGAAGCTGTGTCAAGTCGATGACCACAAGAGACAGATCTGCCTACTCCACCCTGTGGGCAGCAGCGGAAGGTCGTTTCTTAAGTCTGGTTCCTGAGCCTGGTCAGCATCTTACAACCTTTGACCTCGTAGAAACAAAGTGGCCACTTCCTGTCTATGCCATCTCTTTAGTAAATCACAGCATACTGTACAGGCAGAAAAATGACAAAGGGAGGGTCTAATGTGCAATGATGGCACTTGGACACTTTTGGGCACGCTTAAAAATGTTTGAATATCACTGCATTAGATAAAATAAAACTTTTAAAAAAGATAACCGCAATTAAATTATGATAGACCTTTTTATTATGATAGAATTATTTTTGCTACATTTTTCATAAATCGTTTTTTCTAATATGCAGGACTGATTTTTTTTCTGTTTTAAAACTAATCAATATTACTTTTGGCCCACAGAACTCAATCAAATTTAGGCTCTTCAGATTAAAAAGTTTTGGCACCTCTGGTCTAAATGATCTAAATTAATTTTAAATTTAAAAATGCAAAAAAAAAAAAATTTCAAATAAGTTTGAAAAGTTTGAATGTCAGTAAAAAAAGAACTGGTTAAATGGATTATTTATCTCTAATTTTAAGTCAGTAAACTTTTGCCTTTAGAGGAACCTATGACGGGAACAGACTTCCACCAGAATTAAAAGATATGTGGTTTATCTAAAAAAATTGGTAGTTTTAAAATTTAAATTGTGAAAATTTATAGGAATTTTACTGTTAAAAATGTTGTGTTTAGGGTATTGATTGTTTTTTAACATCAACCCTGGACCTACAGATGAAAAATAGCTACTCTGGCTAAATCTACATTTTCTGTGTAATCTACATGTGTATTTTCCCTGATTCAATAAAAAAACAAACAAACAAACAAAAATTTTAGACAGTTTTTCTCATTCAAATATGACAACCATCTATTGTTTTAAATCTAACAAACTTCTTTTGTAACATGTTCTTTTAAAATGCATGGCACTTGTTTTGATATTTTTTTAAATAACTGCATAATTTTTGGTTGTCCTTAAAACTGCCACCTCTTTTTCTGCAAACATTATATACCTAAACTCTTTATATTATTGCATAACCTCCAGTGTTTATTCAATCGTGAAAAATATGACACACACCTATATCGAAGTCTGTGAATAAACAGATCATTTCCCCTTAAGCGGCACAATGAGTGGCAAAAAATCTTGAGAGATATTTCCCCTCTACAGGTCATTTTTAGGATGGCGATATTTATCACTTTGGAATGTTTGCGCAAAAATGCCTCACTGTTTATTCTACCTTGATTTTCCCACACGTGTCCGTAAATACATACCGCTGACGGGCGTGCCGGACGCCCTCCTGCTCCACGCTGTCTGTGGTGTCCCGTAGACCTGCTGTGTCACTCAGCAGCACGGGATACCCCCGATATCCAACGGGACCTCCACGACATCTCTGGTGGTCCCGGCTGTGGGAGACACTATAGCAGCAGGACGCTGAGCTACAGAGTGAGAGAAGATACTGAAATTAGTTCAGAAACTAACAAGGACAACAAAGAACAGCAGTATTTAAAAATTTAACCCTTCCATTTTCATGCTACCAGTACTTATTTTTTTATCTACTAGTATCTTTTCCATTAAATTCTAGCTACTAGTGTATATTCTTAAGCTAGATAGATACTGGTGCTTATTTCAATAGACTAGTAACTTACCTATCGTTACTAGTAACACATTTCAAATTTTTGAACTATTCAGTTCTGACTAGTATATGGCAAGCCATTTTAACATTTAATCTATAAAACATACTTCTATCTATTTTCATGCTACTAAGTATTTATTTTTTTTAGCTACCAGTATCCATTCCATTAGGTACTAGTACTTATTTGTTGGCTACTATTGCTTATTCTTGAGGTACTAGAATCTTTTTAAAATATACTAGTACTTATTCATTAGATACTACTTATTCCAAATGTTACTAGTACATTTTTTTTATTTTACTAGTAAAAATTTTAATTAAACTCTACAGTGGCCATTCTGATTGATTAGTCATAGCATAAGATGAGTAAAAAAATCAGTTGTGATAAGTAATATAAGAATTGTTTCTAGTAACAATCACAAAATATTAGGCATGTCTTGAGCCGATCTCAAGGATCAGGATTGGGGACAATTAAGCATTTTTTTTTTACTGATTGGTATCGGCTATCCTGAGGCTTG